ATGCAGACTACTAACAAATAAGTTGATGTTACAGGGATTTCAACAACCTCCATGAAAGACAGCATTTTATATTATTATAATGACCTTCATAGCAAAAATAACCTATCATTTGGTTGTTATTTGACTGACATATTTCATACAAATTGTTAGATCATTTTTATACTAAATTAGACTATGGATTATTCCGTCTACCTGATCAATGCATGGCGCCCACGGCAGGTGTGAACGGTCGACAGGGGATGCTTACTAGTCTTCGGCACCTGATCTTACTTCTGGAGATTCCAGGGGTTTGTGTTTTATGGCCTATTCACTGGTTTGTATTGTATGTAGTTTTTTTTTTTTTTAATTTTAGATCAATCACTATTCGTTATCTTCACCTTTTTCCTAGAAACACACTACAGTTATGAAAAGAGATCAAGCTGGATTTCATTTGAACGGTTAACTTCTTTCTTGGAAGTTAGAACGTTTTTCTTTGTTTTTTTCTCAGCTCGATATTTTTTTATTAGAATTCTGAAAATTGTTTAAAGCAGTGATATTTTTTTTATTTATAATAAAAGGTTGTATTATGAGATGTATAATGATTTAAAAGAAAAAAAAACATACCTCGGTAAAAGTAAAGTAATCTTAATAAGTTTATTAATTATTAAATAAAATATGTACCCATAGGCGTCACACTCACAAAGCCTTCGAATAATTTAGAGTGATATCCATATTATAATAAGGTATAAGTATTTATCTGTCCCAGAGGATACTTGTCGTTCGGTACTTATTTCTTCATGAGTAGTACAAAGTATAACGAAAAGATGCTGGCAGACGCATCGCCCAGTATAAAAAGGCGTCACTCTTTTTGAGTCTATTAGGGACACAGACTCAAAGAGTTCAGTTGGTGTCCCTCGGATAATCCTCAGGGATATTAAAAATTTGAACATATACAACCGTTCGGACTCCCAGTTTTGATATAAAAACAACAGTTCGTATACAAAATTGAAGGAATGTAAAGTTTCTCTTAATGATAGATTTGATGAATCCTTTTCCGATCCAATGGCATCTATTTCCAAATGTTCTGTTAAAAACTGTAAAAACATGTGATTTTTTGATCACAAACTGTTCTTTTACTAGCAATTTGACAGGGCATACCTTCTATACCAAAACTTGAGAGAATCTGAACTGCAAATCTGCAAAAGTTGTCTACGGAATAGAATGTAACCTTTGTGGGATTATTTATGTTGGTGAAACCAAGGGTTCACTTCATAAAAGAATATCGGGTCACAGATTTCAAATAAACAACGGGTGCCAGCAGCTTCTCTACAAGCATTTTAACTTACCTGATCAGTCTATTTTATCAATGAAAGTTAGAATTCTAGAAAAGATTTACCATCATACTAATAGTCCATCATTGAGTACACCTTTCCGTAGACAACGAGAAGAATACTGGATTAGGAAACTAGGCACAGTCTTTCCATATGGAAGCAATGACAATTTCGATAGTATTGAGAATCTTTGAAGTCCACAGTGTAGCAATGTGAATGTGATGGGACTCTTAACAATACTCAAAGACGAAAGCGCAGTCATGGACATCGGTCATACAATAAACCTATTACACACGATGTTTCTTTTGATTTACTACTACCTTATACTATACATGCAAATAACTATGCAAATAAACAGTTAGGTCTCCATCGCATTCGCACCAAACTTTACTCTGTCAATCTAAAAGTTCTATATGGTCTATTTGAAAAGGCCAAGGAAAGTCCATATTTGGATTCTTCGACACCAGAATACAGGCTTGGATCTGTGATTATGGATATTGCAAATCAAAGGCTTTTTAAACCCCCACGTTTGACGGAAGGTAATACTGCTCAAACAATGCATGTATGTTGAAATCTCGCATTAAGCGTATGAAAACTATTTATCCTTCTGTTTTTAATAATTCAGAAGAGAAAAAGGAATTAGATGGATTACACAATCAGTATGTACTGGTTTCAGCTGACAAAGCTGGTAACAACATAGGCTTTGTTTAGTATTAGTATTTGAATTGTATTTTAGAAAAACTAGGATTTAATTATACGGGTGGAAATTCAACTTACACTCATACCTCTCTTTCTAAGGATGATATTCTTCAAAATCATATATCCGTTTTAGATACTTTCAATATTCCCAACAATCAAAATGAATTTGAATTACCGTACTTTTACTAGATTCCTAAACTTCATAAGTGGGTTCCAGTAAATGTTCTACCAAGCCCCTTTCTTTACTCCTCACTAAAATATTTACTGTAATAAAGGAGAAACTTCAGGGGTACTGTACAACAGTATATTCGAGAAGAGGTGTAAATCAGATGTGGATACTTAAAAACTCCAAAGAACTTTTGGAAAATTTGAAATCAAAAAATTTTACTAATCAATAGCATCAAAACGTACGACTTTTCAACATTTTATACAACCATTCCCCACGATAAATTGAAATCCAGGCTTTTTGATATCATAGACAGATGCTTTTTCAATTAAAATTGTCATTGGTCATTTACAGAATTATTTTGTTAAAAAGCACTCTGATTGTACATACTGTACATACACTGAAGTTGATATGAAAAAGATGCTTGAGTTTCTGATTGACAATATCTTTGTAGTTTTTGGAGATCAGGTCTACCAACAATCTGTTGGAATTCCAATGGGAACCAATAGCGCCCCCTTATTAGCAGACTTATTTTTGTATTCATATGAAGCAGAATTTATTCAAAAACTTCTACAAGAGAAGAAGAAAACAATTTCTGTGGCTTTCAATTCGACATTTCGATATATCGACGACGCATTATCAATTAACAATAGTTACTTTCATTCATATGTCGACTCGATACATCCCAGTGAGCTTGAAATAAAAGATACCACAGATTCACACCTCTTTCATATTTAGATATTTTACTAGAAAAAGAAAAATGGTAACCTAACAACCAAGCTTTATGATATACGTGATGACTTCAACTTTTCAATCGTCAACTTCCCTTACTTATGTAGCAATATACCCTTATCACCTGCATATGGGGTTTAGGTCTCTCAGTTGATTCCATACGCAAGAGCATGCTCTACGTATGAACAATTTCTAAAACGAGGCAACCTATTGAAAAACAAGTTGATGAAACAAGGATATCAACATTCTCGTTTGAAGTCATCTTTTCACAAGTTTTACGGCCGATACAATGACCTTGTCAGCACATACAACCTATCATTGAGTCAAATGCTGACGGATGTTTTTCATACTAATTGTTAGGCCATTATTTATACACTGAACTGTCTACAGATTTCTCCGTTATTACCCGATCATGACAAGGAGCACACGGCGTGTGTGACCGGTCAGCAGGAGATCCTCACTCCTCCATGGAACCTGATCCCACCTCTAAATTTTGAGGTCCGTGTTTGCTCTGCTTCAAATTTGTATCATTTCATTGGACTTTCGAGATTGAATACTGTTCGTTATCTTCATATTTCATCTTCATGCATCATATTTGAAATCTAAGGGAATTCATAATTAATAATCACAAGACCGTCAAAAAGCATCATGGCTTTAAAAAAAGAAGGTGTTGAGATAACAGTGACGATAAATTTCGCTAATTACAAAAAATTAAATGAAAAGAACATAGGTATTATATTGTAAGCTCCCTACGGATGGCCATCCTGGAATAGGGTCTATGCAATGTAATGATGCAACATTTTTCAAGGTCACTCCATAATTCTTGATTTATGTTTCTCAGTAAGGACAAGGCTTGGTATAAGTTCAGTTATTGGTTTATTAATTGGTCTTACAACAGAAAATGACAGTACGATGAGCAAACATCTTTATTAGATATATATAGATATTAAGTAATATTTTGTTTTTGTCGGGGCGTCAACCGTACTTTCAAGGGTAGAAGGTAGGAAAGCTGATTTGGAATTAAAAGCTCAAAATATCTAATATCAGGCGTCCAGTGTGTTTGGAGATAATTGGCAGTTTATCCTCACCTAGTATTTAGTACTTGGATGCTGCTGCTGCAACTTATCTGCTATAAACTCGCGAGGCGCTTATATATATGAGTTTCTGAAGTAGCCATGTGACACAATAGTCATGTGACACAAATTAACGAAAGAAAAAGTTGTACGGTGACGCTCGACCAATCAAAACATTGTACGGTGCAGTACAAATAGAGATCTGTCAAACAACGTCAAACAGGGCTGCCGTAATATGTGGATATTAGCTATAAAACGGAATAAACATTTACAATTGCAATAATAAATAATATGATATGGATCTAGAGGATTTTTTCATCAACTTTAAGTAAGCATTTCATGTGAATAAAACGTGTATTTCATGACAGAAAACTGCAATCGTACAGCAGACAATATTCAAATAGCCCTGACATAATAAAAATGTGTAACTACAATTAAATCCCTTTTAATGTAAAAACCTGGATAAATCTTAGTAAAACATGTTCAAACATTAAAACAGGATATTCACAAACACTTATAACATCGACTGCATAAAAAAATACAACTAGTTCAAATATGAAACTATGGCTAATACAGATACGATGTTGGCGGGATGTAAACACTTCTATGACTCTAGCAATCGTGTGCAATTATGGCAATGTTAGGCACTTATTTGATTTTAATATATAGTTAAGTAAATTACAATAACATGGAAAGATTTTAAGAGTTTGTACTTCAATCATAGAATTTAGAGTTTCCTGTATAAATGCAAGCAACAAGTATGTCAAATCACTCAAATATGCTAAAAATAGACAATACCACAATAAAATGAATTAAGTGTAGCAGTGTAATTTATGCATAGTAAAGTCCACCCTGATAATAATCCCGATAAATGATAACACATTTAAATCATATATAAAAAAAATAAACTAATTAAATTCTACTCCATGGCCATAACAATATGATGAATGACGTATTTTGTACAATTACAGTCCTGACTCTGTACAATACGTATACTTTGTACAAGTTACAGTCCTTTAGTTAGAAAATTGACTTCTCCATGTACATTGTTAACATTGTTCCCGTTGTTAAGATTGAAAACTAAAGATTCTTCTTAATTCTCTTGAAAACGATTTATCCATGAAGGCGTACACAAACACATTTGCAATGTGATTAACAAGAAAAAATGTCGTTAGGAATTTCATAATCAAAGTTTCTTTTTCAACTTTGATTACACTTTCAATAATCAATTTGATTCCTGTAGGCAAATAGGAAATCATGAAAACAACGGTCATTATCATAAACATCAGGGTTGTTTTATAAAATCTTACTGTACTAGAGGTTCTGGTATTTTGAGATTCTGCAGAGTTTACTATAACCTTCCTATATCGGTATATTACTTTACCAATCAGTCCATAGAAAACTATAAGTGATCCACAACTAAATATAACAAAAAGCAACACGACTGTGCTATGTATAAGAGACCAAGTTGGAAGCTCTTCTGAGAAGCGATCACATATTTTACCGGTAATGTTAAAAGTCTTATTTTCTACATCTTTTATACCAACTGTGAAAATGAAGACTACAGTTAGGGCAATTGACAACACAAGAGAAAACAGAACAGAAATTTTCTTCTGAAATGATGACATTGTCTTCTCTCTTGGTCGGCATATCTTTCGTTGATACACAATTAAAACAAGGATTGTCATGGACCATAGTGAGAAACATCCGATGAGGAATGTGCCCCACGAACACAGAGGTCCGTTATCAAAATTAACCGGGTTAATATTTACATATATGTTTTGTCCAACAATTACAATAACAGCGAGGAGATCAGCAATGGCTAAATATGGAATGAAGAAGCGAGCGTCATATTTTCTGCGTAGTCGAACACCATAAATATATATAACTATGTTGTTACCGAGAAAACCAATGAGTCCACAGACGGCCAGGAACATTATATATGGCAGAAGAAGAACAAAAATTCCATTGTTCCATTTCTCTTAAGTTTGCTTTCTTCTTTCAGTTGAATTGTTGTGTTAGTCATCCTTTCCAAAGATATATGACATTTAATGTTAAAGTTGAACTTTTGTTTTAAAGATTTGCCGTTTATCTGTTTTTCACATGGAGGTTCAATGAAAAAAATTATGTCTTTATACGTTATCGTTACGTCCACAAAAATTATTGCTAAGTGTTGCATCCAGTTAGTGTGAAAAAAAGGGATGAAGGAAGTGCGTTACGGAAGATTAAGCATACTTAGTAATCAAACAAAGTGTTGTTCTGCCTTAACCTATATAGAACTTTACATGAATATGTTAGGAAGGCCTCTGATTATAGTGAATACTCATCACGTTAAAAAATAAATGTTTAAAATTTTATAAAACCTCATCAAAATGTAGAAATAAAATAAGATTGCAATGTGACGATATTCTTCAATGACATACCCTGCAAGGAATAAAAAACTACAATCAATTTATAAATATTATAATTCAAAGCAATATTGCAGCCATATTGTTTCATAGTCTTTTATATTCAACTAATTTTTTCCAATTTTTTTATGTTCAAAGATACTGTAGATATATTTCGGGGCGGGGTGTCAGTTTCGATTTCGTTGTAACCCTTAATCCTACAAATGTCAATTCAATAAATAGACAAATATAAGGAGTACGGATACGAAAATACTCCAGCAAACTTTCAAAAATGAAAAGAATTTATTTATCTATCTATCTATCTATCTATCTAAATTATATATATATATATATATATATATATATATATATATATATATATATATATATATATATATATATATATATATGACTGCCGTCATGAGAAAAGGGCCCTTATCTTTTGACGTCATAATGCTCAGAAAACGACGTCAAAGTCGCGGTGTTGTGAACACGGAGGTAATTTTTGTCGACTGCGTTTCGTGAACAAGAAATAAAATTAGTTTTCCAGGTGAAATAAAAAAATATTTGAAATTGATGCTGAAATTTGTAATAAATAATATTATTACTATTTAGTACATGTATTTATTCATAATTCTGTTTATTAATAAGCATTTTTCTTGATATCGCATAATTAATCAAATCGCGACATTGAACACATTGTTGGGTACAGCGATTTATAGCGATGTCTATATACTATGCATGACTAAAAATACTGTGTATTTGTTTTCTGAGCAATTTGCAAATACTTAAATTTGACTCGTATGAATTAGACTTATTATTAAAAGGTATTCTACATGCACGTTCATTCATTTTAAAATGGTTATTTAAATTTTAATCCATATTTAATCATATTGATATGCACAATTAGACCAGAGAAGGGTGAAGCGTTGATGTGTGTGTGTGTGTGGGGGGGGGGGGGGGATCGGGAGATTATTGACAAAAAAAATAAATAAATAAATAAATAAATCGACGAATAAAAAAGACAACCGGTAAAAGTTTAAACAAAAAAAAGAGAACATCTTGTTTTTGATACAGATACGTGTAACATGGGAGATTCGAACCTACATGTACTACAACAAATGAAAAGGGGGGATTGTATAAATGTTATGTAAATAATTCTCTACAAAATTAACAGCAAAAGAATATGCTTAGGAAAAAAATGGAGAAAAGGGTGCCACGAAAATTTTGCTACAAAACATAATTTTGAAAAAAAAAATAATGAAATGATCAAATAATGCATAAAAAATAGTACTCTCTGATACACAATTACTTTTGTATCAATTTTCTTAAATTGTTCCGATGAAAGCTGGCTTGAAATTAAATTGCGCTTGGTTTAGGAATTTTATTAAAATACATCTAATGTGGGCTTTTCCATGAGCATTATACTCAACGTTGAAGAAAATAACATTTATATCGAACGTGACATTATGCGTGAAAATATGCGTATGAAACAGAAGAAACTAGATGCTGTCATGAGACAGTAATACCCGCACTAAAGTGTTTGCCTCTAAATGCACACTCCTTCATATTGGGCTTACCAAGGAAAAAGTCCAAATAATTCTATAATTTACACAGTACATGTATTCGTCAAATCGAGCATAAAATGCTCAGGTGACCATGTGACCCATGAACCTCTTATACGCATTTCATATACTTAATTCATTACCAGTCTGAAATATCAGAATTTAATTAATGTTGTAAATTAGGTTTTAATAAAAAGGGGGGGGGATATAAATTTTTGGACCATAATTGGAACTTTTTAAATTAAATTTATCTTCTCAACAACAAATAATATTATTTTAGTACAAAGCGTTTTTGATGAATTTATCAAAATGTGCAAACTTTTTTTAGTATTTGATTAGGCAAAAACCTCCTTGAAAAGCCATACCCAATCAATTTATATGTGTCCCCCCCCCCCCCCCCCCCCCAAATACACACACACACAATTTGCCTGTTTTTGGAAATAGGCCTAGATGGCAAAGTTATGTTAAAACATCGTTTGTTATGATAATTTAAAATTTGTTCTTGTACTGTACATGTATGTGAACACCTTTTTGAAAATTTCTACATCACATTGGGCTTGCGTCACCCTACCAGTACTAGTACTAGTTTTACCATTATCATTTTTAGATTGCACATGCCATGTGACATGGTGCAGTGTTACATGTATATCAGTGGAAATTAATTCATTTTGTGTTTTAATTGGATTATATTTCATGAAGTTGACAGGACCTATGACAGTCGGTAAGTACAAGTTTAAGTATAGATTGGGGTAAAATAAACCAAAATGCAAATGGTTAGGTTAAAGTTTAAAAAGGATCAAAGATCATCGGCAATCTCCTATGCAGAGTTGTCGTTCGTTTCTCTCTCAGACACTGAATGTATGAGCCGATCGTAGAGAGTGGATCATCGATGCCACAATAGACGAATTTCACATTCTGAAGAGTTATCTCCCGTTGTCGACATTACATTCAGTTACAGGCATAGATCCGGGAATTTTTTTCCGGGGGGGGAGGGGGGTCCACACCTCGGTCCAAAAAAATTCCAGCCCAGAATTTCCTGAGGAGCAAAATAAAAAAAAAAAAACAAACAAACAAAATAAAAACAATGATGGTGGGGTCCATGTTTTTAAAGGGGGAGGGCATCCAAAGTCATTTTTTATTTGCTTCTGTAAATCAGTATATAGTCCTATTTAAATAACTCTGCAAATTCCAGGGGGGGGGGGGGGGTGTTCCAATCTCCCTAGCCGCTCCCTGTCCCTGAAATGACAAATGATCATGCGACTCCTAAATAGTAGAAAATTTTTCCATTTGACTAGACATAATTTTGTTTCTTGTGTTATTATGTTATGTACATCTAATGGTTTAAGGTTATGAACCCTTGAGGTCATCCCCACTCTCTTGTTCATAATATGACTACATCAAATTAAATAGAAGTGCATCAATGATAAGATTACTTGACATTTCATTCATGAATTTGGGTCAACCTAGAATTAGGAATGAAAATCATTCAAAGAGATGGACCATTAAACTATTTGTATGTATTCACATTTTTTTTTATGTCAAACCAAAGTATTAGACTAGTTTGCATACATGAACAAACTGGGGTCTGGGAAGGGGCAAGGGGAAGGAGTTATCTCTTTACGTCTTAATTAATTGTTGAAAATTCCTAAAATGAATGTTAACCTTAAATCCGACTTGTACGTCTTCATTATTTTTAAGTGGTGGTGTCTCCGTATGAGTGAAAAATTCCCAAGAGGGACATTTAACAACAAACAAACATTAATGACTTAAAAAACACAATATACATGTACATGTTTATTAGTCAATGGATATACTTCTGATCATATCTCTAGTTCTCCCTTGAATCAGAAATGATGATATAAATATTTTAAGAATGATTAAGAGTTGAAAAGGTTGTGCATTTTAAAATTCACTAAGCTCTGTGGTTGAATTAGCTATACCAGTTTAGCTTATTTTGCTACTCAAAGCACCTTGATTAACTATTTTTAATCATACTGTTTTCTGAAATGTGAAGTTTTTTCAACATGGATACAAGTCATACCTTTTCAGCTTCTGAAAACAATTAATGCATGAAAAAAAAACTGCTTTTCAAATACTGTAACTCTTTCCAAGTACTTGTGATCATCAGTTTTTAGCTCACTTGAGTTTTTCTGGTTTTCTGATCACATTTTGTTTGTCATTCATCTGTCCGCCTGTAAACTTTTCACATTTTTGTCTTCTTCACTAGAACCGCCGGGCCAATTTCAACCAACCCAGCCACAAAGCATCTTTGGGTAAAGGGGATTCAAGTTTGTTCAAGTGAAGGGTCACACCCTCTTTCAAGGGGGGATAATCAAGAATTAGTGAAAATTTGGTGGTATCATTTTAAAAAAGTCTTATCAAGAACCACTGACTGGGCCCAAAAAGTTGAAACTTTCTTTACATAGACAGTGTAGCTTCAAATTTGTTAAAATTATGACCCACTGGGGTAGGATGGGGCCACATATGGGGATCCAATGATTTACATAGAAAAATGCAGGGGATTTTTTCCATCATAAATCTTCTTCTCATGAATAGCAAGGGCATTATTGTCGTCCGTTTTCACAAAAGGGACCTAGGGGACATTAAATCTCATTTGTCTGTCAGTCTGTCCGTTTGTCAGTCTGTCCGTCTGTCACAAGAAATTTAACCTTGGTCATAACTTCTGAATAATAAGAGATAGGGATTTCATATTTCACATGTACATTACCTACAAGAACTTTCTAAACATACCATGATTTTTGAACCCATGACCTTGACCTTGAAGTTTGACCTACTTTTCAAAAAATTTAACATTATTTCAAATGATCATTTTGAAAGAGAAAAGATAGGGCGTTCATATTATACATGTATATTACCTGTGACAAGACCTTTCTAAATATATCATGACTTTTGACTCTGTGACATTGACCTTGAAGTTTAACCTACTTTTCAAAAATGTTATATTTCCTTATAACTTTTGATTGAGAAGAGATAGGACTTTTATATTTGACATGTACATTACCTGTAACAATATGTTTCCAAGCATGCTATGATTTTTTACCCCTTGACCTTGATGTTTTACCTAATTTTCAAAAATTTTAACTTTGGTGATTACTTTTGAATGACATAT